TTGAACGATAATGCTTCTGTTCATGTATTAGTACGTCATTTCCACGCTGCAGAATTGTACTCGTATTCTTCCTTAATAAATTTGAATATATATGGTTTGCTACTTGTAAACATATTTGTAGGATAGTATCCTCGGGGGCGGACATCCGGGCATTTTCACCGCTTGGCAACCCTGGCGGTGAAAACAAAGGCCAAAAACTCTCAGAAAACGGTACTTTGGGATGACTGTTGAGACTCATCTGAACAATGTAACAAGATTAGCCCTACGTGTGTAACATATATAAATTTGGTTGTTCAGGATTACTTCAAAGTTGAGTTTGTGATGTTTTCTCGAATTTTCACCGGCTCGACCAGCGTTCCACAGCAGCGCGCACAGCGCCCATAGAAATGAATGTACAGTTGTGCGCGTCTTAGCAACGTGGAACGTCTTGTGACGTAGCTCCGCCCCCGAGAATACATTTCAGCACAACAGTTACGGTTCTCTATCTAATCATTATAAATCAGGTTATTTTCTGGAGCAGTTTTTTCTAACACGCATGTATATCTTATGCGATAAAGTGTTGGATAATACCACATTATGACTTGGGACATTAGTTATATCTATAGAGCATAACGTGTTTCATCAACAGACCCTAACTATATGGTAACGTACATTTCATTCAACCCTTGGAACAAAAAAAAAAAAATAGTTCGCAATATCATAGTAAATTGATTTCATAAATTATCGGTGTACATCTAGATTCATTTCTACTCTACTGTACTATCGACGCTAGGCTATTTTAATTAAAAAATAAAGGTGTGAATTGAGAAAACGAGCACCTCCCTCGTACTATTCCTAATTATCGGATAATTTAACGAAAATCCGGGTTGTGGTTTCAGGCGCAGAAAAACAATTGCGACAAAGGCAATAAGATACTGATTGTTGTGAAAATAGTATTTAAACTTTTTGATTGCAAAATCTATTTCATGTTTAGCATGGGACCGATGTACAGTGGCTTCATAACAGTTACAATTCATTGCAAACAAATTTTCTATTTGAACGTTATAATTTGTTTGGCGTGGCTATTTTCACAAATCGTGCAGATTATCTTGCATCGTGAATATTTTGCCTTCATGTGTTGACTAAATCGCTTGGCCCACCTATGCTATCTCTATGCGAAAAGAGAAGCAACTGACAAGAAATATTACTGTATCTGGCTTGCATAAATCAGGAAGTTGGAAAAATACGGAAAATGTTATGCCAACATTGAAAGAGAGATATCATGACATCAATTCAAGAGTGCATAGCAGTATACATAATTTATCCAAGTTTGATTTGGACAGAAGCCAATGCACATTATTGGTGGACAATTGAAGATGGCTTCATACAAATTCAGAATTTCTATTTACAATTCACAAATTAAAACTGAAACATTCAGACACAACGCCAGATGTGGGAAAAGTTCCTACAAATCAAATTTAAGATGATTTTCACTTTTATTAAGAAACATAGTATTTTAACCTCACTATGAATATTTCCAATCGAGAATACATGTTATTTCATTAATGAGATCAAAGTCTGCTATGTAACTATAAAAGGTACTGTAGTAGTATTTGAAGTATGTACTAGTAATTATAGTTGTTCTTGGGTTCGTTTTTGAACTAGGCGTACACGCTACGAGTATCGTTTTTTATAGTGTTTGAGGTAAGTTCAAGTTTATCGTGTAATAAAGGCTTGCGTTTCTCGTAAGCACACAATAGACAAAATCATAGATCAAAGGCCGGTGGTCGTCGTGCCGCGTCCTGTTCGATATGGGACTCATGGCGGCGTATACAACGCGTGTAAAATACACTGTTTATTTACATGAAATTTGGACACGCGCTACTTGACGACCACCGCGCTTAAAAAATATAGTTACTAGGATTAAGTTACCACGTGTGAATTTGCACCATCATATTTGTATAGAGCATGGCTTCTAGCAATTTTTTTCACCGGTATGTTGATCGACAGTAAAACAAAAAAATTATTCAAAACTCACTCATCCAGTGAAGCACACAGTGATATTTTAATTGATTGATTTACTCGATACACCCTGTAGCCACAACATATTTTCAACCTCAAAGTTTAATATTCGATTATTTTTTGAAAATATTAGTAGACAATAGTTACGGAACTGGAGAATGATACTCTTCTGTTAAACCCTTGAAACTAATTATTGCAATACTGTGATATACATCCTTTAAACACGTGATCGTTTTACGTCATTATTACAAATTATCATTTCCATTATCTAACCCACCTCACATCACCACTCCTTTACACGTTTTAGACGTATATGCTACTATTGTCAAAATTAAACCGTGAAATGCGAATAAAATAAACAATTAATAATATATAATTTTAGAACTAATTCACTTTCTTGTCACAGTGCATCATATGTGGAAAAGTAGTTACCGAGTCACATGTTAATGATGCAAATTTATTCAGTTGCCATGGGTGAATCTGTGGTTATGATGGGATAAAATGATGCAAACTGAGGATTGAAGAACTGACAAGTAGCAGTGAGTCAGTGTTAGCGCTTATATCACCATGTCTGACACTACATTTGATATCATTTCCAGCGTTATCTACGGCATCGTGTTTCTAGTTGGTACATCTGGTAACGGTATTGTGTGTTATATTGTATACTCCAATAAGAATCTACGAATATTCAACTGGTATCATTAGCTGTAGCGGATTTAAAAGTTTGTGTCATCACTTCACTTCTAAAATTGTACCTGACTGTAAAACGTCTTATAAACTCTGAGACTGATATTAATATAAATCATAATGAATGTGTACTGCAAACATTGGCATTTTATTCGTCAATGCCAAAGTACTCCTGTCGATCAGCAAGTAAAAGACGTATCGAAAGTAGCTGTTGGTATAGTGTTTGTATCGTTAATTATAATAAGCACATCATATAGTTACATCTGCCACAATATTATAAAAACTCAAAATCAGTCAATGGTGGAGGATGTAAAACGTCTAAAAACTTTGCATCTATTACTACATCAATTTTTCTTGCTGTATGTTTCATCTTGTTCTACGTGCCACTGTGTGTACTTGGCATGTTGGTAACAAACGAGCTTGTTGAGAGAAATTAACGCGTGACTAATTTATTTTTTGCAATTACCTGTGCTGGCAGCGTGATAAACCCTATAATATACACGTTAACGTCTTCCAAATTCAAAAAACATTTTCCATGGAAAAAAATTGTAATGACACTATTTCACCGCCAATAATGTGGATATATGCAACGAAAGCACTTTAGGTAGTGTCTGTGTTCATTTCAGAACATCTTGGGAAGATATCGTGTTGAAATCTTTTGAACAAAGGACATTGCCGTCAAAATGGTGACAATGAACTATCATCATGGTAGAAAACGTGCCTGTATTGCCCCTACGTACTGCCACAGAACACGACAGTTTATTTTAAGTTGCCGGTTTCTCGTAACTGAAGTACACTCAATGGACCAGGTGTGTATTTTAGAGAAAAAACAAACAAACATAGCAACTATTTACCCCATCGGTCAGTGACTGACGTCAGAGGGCGTGACATATAGAGAAGGTATATTCTTCTTTGTACTAGACGATGTCATTTCCTGAAAGAAACATGTGTAATTAGAATTCTTTTCTGGAAACTTATTTGATAATTCACCGTTTATTTATTTCAAGAGTGACACGTTTAATAGAAGTTAGAGCAAGTGTTATACATGTATGTTTATGCGTCAGCTCACAATAATCATAATGTAATATGGTAAATTTATCTTCTATCGCGATGTATTTATCTATATTTAGATGTGATGCCATTTGTATTAAAAAGATCAGATTTTGGAAATTGTATCAAATTTGGGACGGTGTAATTTATTTACGTGTTTGGAAAGAGTCGTAAGTATTCTGTTCGTAAAAGTTGCTAACCATACATTACCCACAATGCTCCACGTTCGTGTACTTGTCACTACGTTTCTATCGTTGAATTGAAAAATCATTATGTACATTTTCTCATTGTTAATTATTAATGTTGGTTGCTTAAGTTATATGTATTTGTTTGCTGAGAAATAACATCGTGATTAGTCTTCCCATAGAAGGCAGTTCAATCAACTTCGTCGTGGGAAGAACAAAATAAGGAGCCACAACTCCCTCAGCAACTGGGAAATCACCCTTTCTGAAAGCTGCACCCAAAAAACATAGATTAGTGAATTCATTGTAGTTGAAACAGACGACTGTACTTTGTTACGTAGTCGTTTGTCATTCAGAATAAAATAAATTTACAAGAACAATGTGTTTTAACACCCAATGACGTCATAACAGCTTTCGTAGCTAGAGGGCACCACTTATTACACGAAGTCCCTTTCCTTTTCCGCGGACTTGGAATGAACAATTTGTATCAGTGCGTTAGTGCATAGACCTACACTGTCAAATACGTTTTCTAATTACTAGTATTAGTTTGTACCAGTGCGAACGATCGAACGCATGCGCATTACCTACTTCCTTATTTCATCAAACGATTGCTATGTTGTACATGAGGGACACAGTGTTCATATAATAGTATATTATAATAAAGCATGACCTAGTGTGTATATTCAAATACAAATTCATGAAAACTTAGTTATGCATATATTCATTACAATATATGCATCAATACATTCATAAAGCCCCCTCCCCCATTCCCCAGGGCATAGTACGTTAGTGAGTTGGATTTATATGAATCCAGGTACAACTTTGTTGTGATGTAAAGTGCGTGAACGTTGTGCGTAATAAAACAACCAGAACATATTCGATACCTCGTTAGACAAGTCTATTGCCTAAACATTCACGCAGGAGTAGATCGAATGACAGCAAGTCTGTACGCAAGCGTCCCTGACAGGTAATTATATTCAAAGTACGTCCATTGTGCCATTGTTCACAATTGTCAAATGCCAAAAAAAGACGGAGTGAATTTACAATTGAAATCACCTGACCCACTCGATGTCAACAAAGATGGCGACCAATAAACTTGGTCGACGGAACCGAAAGATTCATCCGGTGAATTCTGACCCGAAACTTAAAAACACTATAACTGAAAAATGGACCACATTGGCTGTGACCAAGACGAAGGATACTGAAAATCAATCGTCAAAGCCCTCGCGTACCTTAAGGTCTGCTCGAGCACGCCTTGACGATGCTATGAAGAACCTTATATCTGGTGTGGAAGTTGTCGTCCCGAACTTACAAGAAGACGAAACTAATCTGACTATTTGGCAGGTGTGTATAATGACGAATCAATGTAGGATAGTGCAGGGTAACCTTGATCTATCTATGATTGGTCCGGGGTAACATTGATCTATCTATGTTTGGTGCTGGGTAACCTTGATCTATCTATGTTTTGGTGCGGCGTAACATTGATCTATACATGTTTTGGTGCGGGGTAACCATGATCTATCCATGTTTTGGTGCGGGGTAACCATGATCTATCTATGTTTGGTGCGGGGTAACCATGATCTATCTATGTTTGGTGCGGGGTAACCATGATCTATCTATGTTTGGTGCGGGGTAAGCTTGTTCTATCTATGTTTGGGATATATTATGGAATGTTGGCTATCTCTTTCTTGGCTGACCACAGCAATCAATTAAGTTGCGTGTATAAATCAAAGAGTACAATTTATTTATTTATTTACTCGAACATGGCAACATAAACTAAATATAACAATAGTAGTCAGTAACAATAGAAAGTTTAACAGTCCGTAACATTGGGAAGTATGCCAAACCATTCAATAGTTTTAAGTCTGTGGAACAAAACAACTAATACGGTTAACCATATAGCTAACCATATGGCTACTTAGTATTTGTTCGTATTACAGTCTATGAAACGACTTCTTTTCATGTGTCGATTATAATTTAACAAAGGCTGCTTCCGTGGCATTTGCGTTTCCTTGGAAACGAATTTAAACATCCACCCACATTTAGTAATGTGTAGAAAACTCCAATGAGATTTAATGGCCGGAAATTTTAATATAAGTTGGACTTCGATGAATTTATAAATTATCCACTAACCAATAGACTATTTTCTGTTTACTGCGAGATCCCGCGTTAAGTGTGAAATCGAATGTAAACACATTACAAAAAAAGATCATAGCGTCGTAATGGCGTCAACACATCGCACTGGATTAATGACATTAATGGCAATAATGATCGATGTGCTATACACATAATGATGGTTAATTTTGATGCAAAAAGGGTACTCCAACGCCCTATTCCTCCTTGAAAGATAGGCATTTCGACATTCAACTATAAAAACGCGAGATCTCACGGTGAACGGGAAATCACCTATATGAATATGCAAAATAACAGACAACTAAAGACTAGAGAAACCAGAAAATGTGTTTTCTTGTTTAAAATATTGTTGACGCCGTACTAGAATATGTGATAACACAGACGACTGTCTTAGTAAAAATAGTATAGAGTAGAACATATTCTGATGCAGAACAATTGCGAAAACAAGTGTTATAATATTCGTTTTTTGATACAGATACAATACGAAAACATGAATAATTGATATAACGTGTCGATCTGCTATATTGGATTAGAATTAATTGTAAACTATAGCACATCACTTGTCATCTAGCAATCATGCATACACGTTCAACCCACAATAAGTAAATATTCGTGTAATATTAATATTTCATTGCATGATAGGCTGCTATGCTGGGGAATACGAACGAGACAAAAAAGTTGCTTGACAATGATCCATTTTTATTGAATTCACGAGACATTCTTGGAGCCACGCCTCTACATTACGCTGTTAGGTACAATAGGAAAGATGTGGTCCAAGAACTGTTAGAACGAGGATCAGGTAAGATTCATAAAGTTCCTTTGCGAATGAGTACATTATAGAGGGGGGCAAGGGGGTAGCTGGTACAGTTTAGGGGAAATAAAAAAGACGTTTTTACGGTTTACAATGAATATTGAATTTTGCAGTCAATTGTGTCATCTAGTCGTTTTACAGTTTCGAAACTGTAATTTCCCTGGATTATTCTTTACGACTTTTTTTATTTGGACGAAATTCTTGTACGTACCGAGAAAAATGACACATTTTTACAGTGTACGAAACAAATATTTGATTGATTACGTTGTACGTCTAGCCTGTGATTACAGAATTACGGAATTTATTTTTTCAATTTACGTTGTACGAACAAAAAAAAATATTCCAATTACGTTGAACGAAAATAACCCTTGCCCCCTCTCATTATAATATATACATACAGACATTCTGATTCATATAAAGTGTGGCGATGATAAGAAAATCTCACGATAGGTGCAAAATTGGTGAATCAAACAAACCAATCAGCGTGAACAGTGCACTACGACATCATTTGAAAACGCTCTGATGTTATTCAACCGGCCAATAGAAACCCATCTTTTCAGTTTGAATTGTAAAATTTATATATTAAAATGTACTATAAATATTTAAAGATAAATGTTTTTCTTGTGCCAAGATTAACGTCAACGTATATTTGAGCATTTCTCAACTTTCACAAAAAAATATTTTATAGTACAACCAAGTTGGTTGATTGGAAAGCATTCGGGAATATACGAGCAGCGAGTGTCGACCGACGACATTAAAGCGGGAGGGTCGTCACCTGCGCACGCGCGGGAATTGAGTCCCAAGCGACGATAAGAACACGCGCTAAAAACGCAAAGACTCATGGCTAGACGCTTGTTTGTAGACAATGAAACGCTATGGCCATCTGAAGCATGCGCAGGAGACGAGTGCCCACTATACTTGATCATTCTGGTCATTCCAGTTGAACTACACTACCTGAATTGTGTAGTCACAGAACGTTTATTTCGTAGTCCACATCATACCTACGACGGCATAAATACGCCATCAAAGACATATCAGTTTTTTTGTTTTGATGCGCAGATCCCAACAGAGTAATTCTAGGTAAAAAGATAACAGCCCTGCATATGGCGACAAGACGCAACTTCACTAATATAGTAAGACGTCTCATCAGACACGGTGCGATGATCGGCGCTAAGGACGAGAATGGAAAAGTGCCACTACACGTAGCAGCACATCAGGGAAACGTTGAATCTTTAAAGGTGTGGTAATCATAGCATGTACAGTAGCGGCGGCACAGAGGGGGGATGAGGGGGCGCTCCCTCGGGAAAAATGTGGGGGGGGGGCGTCGCCCCTCCAAAATCAAGCTGAAACCTTTTGTATCAGCAGAATGTGCCCCTCAAAACGCAGGTAATCAGAGAGTCTAGATTGAAAATTTTGTTAGGGGGAGCCTGCCCCTAGACCCCCTAGTAAGGTCGCGTCTTTGACGCAAGGTTGGTGACAGATCTCGCCCCTTCGTGCACAACTTCGTGCCGCCGCCTCTGATGTATTCCTAAGAAAGCTTGGTAGTTGCAGTGTGCTTTACAAAAACTACGAATAGAGCTGGCGTTTGTAGTTAGAGGTAGTTCATTGGAAATCACTGGGCGGAGTGTGGGTGGGGCAGCTGGGTTTGAAAGAGTGTGCGATTTTTATTTTATTTTATTTTATTTTTTAATATGTCAAAATTTGTAGTTGCAATACATTGCATGTGATAGTTTTCCTTCTGTAGTTACAATGAATACCTGGCTATATTTTACTACTGGCGTCTTTGTGACTGAATGGTGCATATAAGTGTCGAGCGATCCCGTTCCCCGATACAATCACTTTCCGTACATTAACCTGACTAGCCATCCACCTATAACAACCATGATAGACTGAACCCGCACTGTTCACACTAGCTTGCAAATTACCGTCCACAAATCTACCGTCCACCCCATGATTACAAATGGCCTACCCCTTACTCAGATGTACAGCTCGTATTTCGTGTTTATAGTTGAAGATAGTTGAGGATATATATATCAGTATAATGTTGAACAACAACGGCGACAATTTACTGTATCTTTTTTTTATAAAGTTCGTCTATAATTTGTTCTTCTTTCCTGTCCAGTTGCTGCTCTATTCCGGCGCGGATGTTAATATTTGCGATAATGACGTCATGACTCCTTTGCACTTGGCTGCTCAAGTTGGCAATGTGGCTATGTGTGAGTTACTTGTAAGTGTAGCCGTTTTTATATACAGATTCATTTTGATTTTTGTAGTACTGCAATATATTAATATTAATTAGGTAATTTGCATAATTATTTACCGCTTTTAGCTTATTCTGTTGGTGATAGAGAGTATATACTAAAAATAGTTTTTCCAAATTAAGTTGAGCTATACTCAAAGATTACACTGCCAAAGGGGACATTGTTTTTCAACATGCCTCATCATATCTCTCATCGGAGTGAGCATTTTTCGCCAAGACTGGCAGGCAGTTGTCATATCGGGTTCTACAATATTTTGGTTTCTTGTTGATTGTGTGAATTCGGAGACAGTTCTACAATATATGTTTTAACTTACAGTTAATGCACGGTGCTAAACTGCGATGTAAAGAAATTAGTAACATCACACCCGTAATGTTTGCAGCTATTTGCGGCAGTTTACAAACCATGATGTTCCTTATTGACGCTGGTAAGTTACACATTCTACTCTATGCATTCACGACGAACCTCGAATAAAAGCGAAACATTTCTATAGCTGTACCCAAATTTTGCTGTCGTTATTCTGAAAGAACCTCAACAAAAGTGTCACTTTATTTATATTATGTGGTTATTGAGATTATACATTCTATATTTCAGGCACGAAATTGGACATAAGTTCTAAAGTATGTATGGAAGACAGAGACGACGAAGGCAGCACAGCCTTGCACTTGGCAGTGGCCAGGAGCCATATAGAAGTGAGTGAATCGTTGATTAATATTAACCTAAATCGTAATGCACATACATGACCAAATGCTCTAAATGAGACGCGTTTGAATATTGCACCATACTTAGTTTAAATGACGGTGGTCGTCGTGTCGCGTCCTGTTCGATATGGGACTCATAGCGACGTATACAACGCGTGTAAAATACATTGTTTATTTACATGAAATTCGAACACGCGCTGCGCGACGACCACCGCGCTTTAAAAATGCTATATTGTACTTAAAAGCTTGGGCTATCCGTCCGCTGCGCATTCAACTATCACAATTTGGGCTAGTATGGTTGCATTTCTGGTTTAAGTTCACATAAACCATTATGCCTTGAGTTCTATACATGTGTCCTCTCTGTAGATAACCAAATATTGTCTGAAGTGTTCAGCAGACATCAATGCCCAGAAAAACAATGGTTACACTCCGCTTCACTTAGTTGCCGTAACTGGTAACGAAAATCTTGCCAAAATGTTGATTGAGAGAGATGCCGATGTCATTATCACAGATAACGAACGAATGATGCCATTGCACAGGTGAGAATAGACGTTGCATGTGTTCTGTGTGCACACAGTATTTTATATTGTATAGTTGCAATGGCTCTTTAAACTGAGTATGACACATTGCAGCAACATCGATGTACCACACACTGCATAAATGCCTTGAAATGTATTATGAGATTAATAAGAAATATTTGTATTTACTTGTTTTTCTCTGTGGTTCATCAATGTTTAACCCGTACTCTTGTTTGTTCATAGTTTAAAGCGGGAGTGTCGTCACCTACGCATGCGTCAGATCGCCATAGCGTGTCATTGTTTACAAACAAGCGTTTACCATGATCCCTTGCGTTTTTAGTTAGTGTTATTATCGTCGATTGGGACTCAATTCTCGCGCGTGCGCAGGTGACGACCCTCCCGCTTTAACGCAAAGTACACTATGCAAGACCCTCCCAATGTAAATGTTAGGTTATGCAACAGTATATTAACTCTGTAATGATACCTAACATAAAAACTGTTGATTCGCCCACTTCTGCAACTCAAATATAATAAGCACATTTTTTGCTAACTTCTATCCAATTGCAGGGCGGCTATGTACAACAGACTCGAAGTCATGGAATGCCTAATAAACTCCGTGAGTTTAAAAATAATGTTCTTAAATGTCCAGTGGCTTCGATAATGGTTTACCAAAAAGATTGTGCAAATTTGACTTCCTCCTTTGGATTTCTTTCTTTTAAAATTGGCAAACTGCGATATGTCAATCTATCAATAAAATTAGTCAATTTGCATAATAGTTTAGCACTTGTTCTAAGCATATTTTAAAACTGTTCGCTGAGTACTGAATGCCTATTTATATTTTCTAACCCATCTGTGTTTTTGCAGTGGATAATCACAGTTTTGAATAAATATTGAATTAAAATTAACACGGGAGCATTTTTTGAAATCTCAAGTTTGGGTTTTCGTAGCATTTTTTGCATTCGTTGCTCATTATTGTCGTTTTTACTGTGTTCGAATGTGAATATATGTATATATAATTAGGGCACAGTTCTGGAAGGCAGGGATATCGAACGTTTTACACCTCTGTTGTCAGCAGCATGGAAAGGGCAAACTGCCGCGGCCAAGTATTTAATCGAAGAGGGCGCTAAAATAGACGTCAAAGACAGTGAATCCAAGAACTGTCTTCACTGGGCGGCCTATGGAAATCATTTAGACTTGGCGGAAATGCTACTGGAGAATGGTGGATGTGTTCTCATGAATGAAAAGGATAAAAATGAGATGACTCCCACTCATATAGCGGCTGAAACTGGAAATGTCAAGGTATGAGCATATTTAAAGCGCGATGGTCGTCGCGCAGCGCGTGTTCGAATGTCAACGCCGTCATTTTTTTGCGCCAAAATTTTGTTGCAGCATATTTACATTTTTTCTGTATTTGTCTACAATTTCTTTGTTAATTTTGGATCAAATGGACATAACTGTTCATGCCTACACATCTTGGCCAACAATTTTAAAAACAAATTAAAAAAACAAACGTTTTGTGAAATGTTGATGTCAACTTTATGTAAATCCCATTCGGAAACTATATATATGTGTAATACACTGATCTATGCGTGATCTATCACCTTAGTTGACATTTCACGAGTTACTAGTTTATTAGTAACTGAAATCGACCATCAAACTCCTTTTTCATAATCTCGCATTCGGAAACAGAAGGGTAATCTACTAACTACAACATTTCTATGAACTAATCATGCGGAAATTATTATCTATTGTTCGATTTCACGAAATGTCATATATTAAATTAATTTACTAGTGGATGATTGTTTTTATCAGATTTTGAGGTTACTAATAAAACATGGCTGCAATATATTAAGGAAAGACCAGAACGAGCGGACACCACTTCATCTAGCAGCAAAGTACGTAGGAGCATTTATGTAATATCGATAATATATATATATAAGGACCAGTTCGCTCGACTTAGTTAAAAAGATTGTCTAATCGAGGACAGATAACAAATATGTGTCGATCAGCTCGAAATGTGTAAAACCGTATCGTCAATTTTGACAAAACGAAGATTATATTATATGGAAATTATGGTTTTATAGAGATAAATTAGCACAAGTATGTCGTATTTCAAATATTTAGGAGTGGTCTTTTCTAGTAGTAGTTTGTTGCGTAAAGCAAAATTTGGAATGGCCTAGTAAGCGTCTAAATACGTGATATCTCTGTGACTGAAGTTAATGCCTATTTTGACAAGAAAATATTATCACCCTCATTCAAAGTAGAAACGGACAGACAATGACAGATACAGAGTGTATTCATTGAATATAATACAATGTTTGTTTTCAGTAAAGGACACTACGAGTCTCTCCAAGTGCTAGCTGAGACTGACAGTACACACATCAACGATGACGACATAGACGGCAATACTCCGCTGTTATTGGCCAGTAAAATGGGGCATTCTAAGGCGGTCACGCATTTGCTGAGAGTTGGGGCTGACGTAGCCAGCAGGTATGATTATGTATAAATACGATATATCATCAGTCAATGATTAATTTTCATGCAGATTTAAGTCTGCCCAATAAATTTCTTCACTCATTCCACAGAGATGAGTCGAGGAGGACTTCACTTGCCCTGGCTGCCAAGAACGGTCATGCAGACATAGTAAAGATATTGCTGAAGAACCACGCAGATATTGATACTGTCGACAAAAACAGAGTAAGCACCGAACTATGAATGCGAAACACTAATTTTTCAAATAAGTTTTTATCAATACATTTCTGGAAGTGAACATTTTTTGATTGCAACGCATGTATACAGTTTTCAATTGTTCGATATGAACATTACCTCTGCAGAATACACCACTGCATCTAAGCGCTTCACATGGACACTCTGACGTCACTGAACTACTGCTCTATGAGGCTGCTAACCCATTGTTGAAGAACAGCAAAGGAGAAAACTGCCTGGACTCAGCAACAGAGCAATTACAGGACGAGACAGCAACTGTCTTGGTGTTAAATAAACGGTGAGAGGGTTATTATATTTGACCGAGCTGTGAGAGCACATGATGATGTAGGCGTGGAATAAATGGAAAGAATGTTATGACAGCGATCATGTTACAAATACAGTGATGTG